TGGTGGACTTGGCAGTGCGAGGTTAACAGTTCGACTTCATGATCTTAAGGTTCTTTTCCAATGAAAACGATTCAATCGTTCTCTGAAAACCTGGAATTATTCCCAGGAATAATTTATATTATTCATCATAGTGTCATGCTTGGTATGTTAAATAGGTAGTAGACTATTATTTTTTTTAGGGACTTTTTAACCCAATTATATACCTATATAATAATACATGTAGCTGGTGCATTATCATTTAGAAGATATGTGTACCCAAATCTATATTTACAGATGTATACAGAAAGTTATTTTTGTATTCTTTATAATAAAATACTTTCATTCTCCTTACTGGATTTGGAATTCATTTTCTGTATTCTTTCTTTGCTGCTTTACATTTCTGTTCTCTTCCCTTTTTGATTCTGCTTTGTTTTTTGTGTCCTGAATCTGCTTCCTCTTGTGTTCATTCCTTCATCCTGGCCATTCCTCACATTGTTACTGTCTTCTGCTGTAACTGTACCCAACCAGCCTATTTTACTCTGGGCTGTTCTGCTGAACACTGTGATGCTGCTCAGATTTCTGTAGGCTGCCCTAAAGGCAGACTGTAGCTAATTTCACTTTTGCTGTAGGCCTCAAAGTACAGAAGTAAAGGGGAGCAGTGCAGGATTAGGAGATATGTGCATTTGTAAGATGGAGTGACAAGACTGTCAAAATATCCCTGTGCCTTGCTTAGGATATAGAAGAATAAGCATTTTTTTTCTGGTACACTTATTCAGATTTTGTTGATTGATTGATCATGTTAGTCTTTGGACCTGAGGATTCTAACTCTTGATATTCTGTCATGTAGGAATGAAAACTATTTTATGTTTTCAATTTTTTTCTATTCTAGGAAGTAATGTTCTAAGAATGTCATCAGGCACCCAAATAAAACCAAAGACTGCAGTACAGAAAAGCAAGACATCTTCTCCTTTGCCATGTTCTCCAGAACCTGCAATTAAAGCGCAGCCAAAGCCTAGTGACAAGCTGAACCCTAAAACTATCGATCCGGTATGTGTGGGTGGTGGGTTTTCTGTTTGTTTGTTTGTTTAAAACAGATCTCTTATTGGAAGAACTTTCCTTACTTTATGAAATACATGCAGAACATGTTTCTTCTGGTCTTGTTTTGTAAATTTAAACTAAAGGTTTGTTATTAATCATACATTGCCTAATTTCTAATCTCAAATGCCTGAGGTGTAATATGCTTGTTACTTTTTTTTTAAAAAGGAGGTTTGGTACAATTATGGCTCAGATGGTAACTTTTTTATTTTCCATGTACTTTTGTCCTAAAAAGAGATTTAGAGCTAATAGTTTAAAAGGGTTGAGAGGTTTTTTTGGTATAGTTATAAATTTTGGCACCTGCTCCTTTAGAGGAATTCATCTCAGTTATGCAATGAAACCAAGAATCAGCATCTTGAAGATCACTGAGACCTCATAAAATCTAGCAAATTAATTGCTGGTGAACATGACTGAAACTCCCAAGTACTGTGAGTATGCAATACTTTGGGAAGAATTTGGACTCTCAGGAGAAGACTGATGGAAGGAGTTGTTTATTGCACAGAAGTCCTGTGCCTGGAGAGCTAGCTTTGAGTGAGTGAATTAAAGCTCACCACTGGGCCATGTCAGCCAAACAATTAGTAATGTCACAGATTTTTTGGAAGACAAACTAACTGTGGGAGTACTTTGGTGAGGTATTAGTTTGCCATGAACAGAGGCTGAATACTTTCATGTGGGCATTTTTTTTTTCCTTGAAACCTTTTTGTAAGTAGTGCAATGACTTAATTAAGCTAAGAAGTCATCAAACTATGTACACTATTTAAACAATGTTAATGTAGGTTCAAACACTCCTCAAAAGATAAAAATTAAATTTTCATGGTATTTCCTGCTATATGCTTTGTGATAAGGTGTTTAATCTGGGAAGTAGCATTGAGTGATCATGCTAATAAATAATACAATAGTTCATATGCATAAGAAGCATGTATATGATAAAAACCAACTTTGTGCAGGCTTCTGTCCTGTGAAGCTCCTAGTTTCCTTCTCCAGTGAGTCCTCCCTAGCTTCTCACCCAGGATGAACCTCCCTGCTGATTTCCTGTGCCCTCATACTCTCTTGCCCGACATTTGGTGTTTCTCCCGCATCTTGCCACCTTGTAATTTTGTCTGTTCTTGGATCAAGATGGAATTAGAGTAAATCTGCCTTCTGCATGTTACCAATACAACAACAAGAGCATCAGGAATGTGGGAGGTCCTTAATCTGTGAAGTCTTAGACTTCAGTGTTAAGATTTGCAAGAGAAAATAGAAAAAATAAGGGTATTCCATCAGGAGACCACTGATTCTACATTATTTATTCATTTTTACAACTTCTTAACCAGACAATTCTGTAAAGCCATTTTTTTATAAATGTACCAAATACATTTTTTCTACCTCATAGCTGCATTGTTCTTTTTTTGATCAGCTTTAGAATTGTATGACTAAGTTCCTTTTTTGGTAAACTGCAATTTTAACATATTCAAAAGAATTATCAAACATTACTGTTACGAATAAATGATGCATATCCTTTTTTTTTTTTTTTCCCCTCAGTTTGGTGTTCATTCTCGACCACTTTCTGCATTTGCTGCTATATATGCTAAAGGTGGCATTCCATGCAGGTGTGTTGGTTTTGTTTATTTTTTTAACTAAATATATTATGGTTAGGTAGAATTATGGGCATTGAAATACATTTACTCATGTTTAATCTTTTGGTTAGGCTGTTTGATTCCATTTATTTCTGAAAAGACTTCTGATACTTAACTCTTTTCAAAGCAGAAAACAATTTTCCATATCTTTGAAATTGTCTTCTTTTGGTTCTTTTTTAATTGTCTGTTAATATTGAAGCTTTGGTTTTAAAGAATAGCTAGGTATTTGCAGATTTGGTTTGCTAAACCTCTTTTATGAAAGAAGTTGATTTCTTCATGTAATGGCGTTTACTTTTCCCTGTTAACAAACATAATAAAATTAGTGCCATTTTAGTAAGTAGATATTTTGCAGTCTTTTTTTGTCTGAAGTAAGTAGTATGACAACATTTTCTTGAATATTCCAATTCTGTAGTTGTCAGCAATATCAGAAATCAGCAAAACTATTTGTAAGTAATTGTTTGTGGTATTTTAAGTTACTTTTGTCTATTATACATTTGCCTAGACAATAAGTGCCTTAGTGTTTTGTCAAGTGGATGCAGAATTATTTCACAAAAATTCAAATAATCATTAATAAATGTATATACATGTGTTAATAATATACTAATAAATAATACAAAAATATAATTAATCATTCATACATAGCCTTTATCTGTATCTTAGGAGTAACTGTTGAATTCCAATATGATTTTCTTTCAGTTTCAACTGATTTCCCTTACCAGTTGTTATTTGAGGAAAATGTTTCGTGATATTTATCAAAATAAATAACATTGCAAAGGGAGCATCTTCTGTGTTGGTATGAGAGGCATCTATAATTTTTATAACTTTTAGTTTCTGATGTCTATGTGATTGCGAGCACAATTTTGAAGAATGGCCATATTTGGGAATTATAATAATTGCACTGTTAAATACCATTATACATTTCACTAAGGAGAGCAGTACGTATTGAAAATGTGTATATAACATTATAGTAATATTGCAAACCAATTGGTGATATATTTAAAGTGAATAGTGTTGGCAATAAATTATATATTATTCTACGTTAATTTGTTAAAACTTTGTTCATTACATAGGTTAGTGCATGGCTCAGTAAAGCACAGACTGCAATGGGAATGCCTTCCTCAAACTGTTCCCTTTGATCCGCTTCTTGTAACTTTGGCAGAGGTAAACTCAATTTTCTTGCAAAAAGTTAAGCATACAGGATTTCCTAATTGCAAATGGCATTTTGTAACAAGCTAAGCCAGCTAACTTAGACTCACCTGCTAGGGAACTGTAAAAACATTTGCGAGGGTCTTGTATGAATGAAGACGGTCAAAAACATTGCCATTTGTAGTTCTTTAGTTAGAGCATTCTGGGAGAGCTAGGTAGAGCTATTTAATGTTCGAGATTCTGGCCAAATACAAGACTGCATCTCAGATTCCCAGCTGTTGAATGAAATAGTTCGATCCATTTGTGGCTTTGCAGGTTCTTTTGTAAACAAAATTGTTTTGATTCTTTTTGTTTATAAAGCCTACCTATTGAAGTAAAAGTGGTCTCCTCAGTAGATTGAACTAATACAGTGGAAATGGCATCTTGTAAATAACTGAAAGAGAAATACTATACATTATGTTCAGGTTTCTGTTTTCTCAGCATCATCTGTGACATTTGCCACCAAATATGTTTTAGGAGTGTAAATACATGTTGAATCCAGTGAGATAGATGGAATAAAGTGCATACTGTAGAGGTGGCTTTTTTTTTAAGATTAAACAAAGCTGTCAATTCCTAAAGTAACTTAGAGCCCCTATTATGGGAAGCAGAAAGACTGCAGCCATAGGCTTTAAATCTTTGAGTTCTATCAGTCAGGTCTTCACTAGAAGTGCATTTTTGTACCATATACATTTTTTTTGGTGTTGCAGGAGCGTGTGTGTGATGGGGCGTGTCTTTCCTTCCATAGTTCACCTTTTTTTTTTTTTCTTCAGATTGCAAAAACCATTTATAAATATAGCCTTATTCTTGTTCATGGTCTTGTTGAAAAATTAAGTTCGGTAGTTAGATTAAAGGTAATGAAGTACAAATATTGATTGAATTGACAGTATTCATATATGAGTTTTTATATTCGATGTTCCAAAAGAAAAATGAATAAGAATATTCTGTAAGTAGAGTTGTACTCAATGGCTCCACATGGTGGAGTTAGTGTATTTTATGTTTTGAACTGATGTAACAATCTAAACATTATCTTGCTACTATGTGGAACTTTTTAAATATGTTTTTGTTTAAAAGAAGGCTAACTGTTAAACAAACATGTTTTACATTTGCAACAGGGTCTGAGAGAGACAAAACATCCCTATACATTTGTTTCAAAGGAGGGTTTTAAAGAATTACTCATGGTTGAAGGTGCTACTGAAAAAGCAATTCCCTTGTTGCCTCGTCTAGTTCCAGTGTTAAAGGCTGCAGTGGTATGTCTTAATCTTCATGCAGAGATTTTCATGGGTTTGTTGGGTTTTTTTTTTCCTTGTTTTGGTGAGGGCTACACAGAAAATATTAGTGTGATAAATCTATTCCATGGGCTTTTGGTTTGGAGTTTGGGTGGGGTGGGAATAGTTTCTTTTTCTCATGTTAACCCTGCCTCAGTTATATTATATTAAATATGTCTTTAACTCTAAATTCAGATGGGCACTGAGGTGAATATATTGATCTCCTACTATAACAAGGTGACCTGATTAGTGGGAAAGGCTGTGGATGTTGTCTACCTGGACTTTAGTAAAGCCTTTGACACTGTGTCCCACAGCATTCTCCTGGAGAAACTGGCTGCTCATGGTTTGGATGAGCATATGCTTCGCTGGGTAAAAAACTGGCTGGATGGCCGGGCCCAAACAGTTGTGGTGAATGGAGTTAAATCCAGTTTTTGGCTGGTCACAAGTGGTGTTCCCCAGGGCTCAGTACTGGGGCCAGTTCTCTTTCATGCCTTTGTCAATGATCTGGACAAGGGGATGGAGTGCACCCTCAATAAATTTGCAGACACCACCGGGTTGTGTGGGAGTGTTGACCTGCTTGAGGGTAGGAAGGCTCTATGGGGGAATCTGGGCAGGCTGGCTGGATGGGCCGAGGCCAGTTGTGTGAGGTTCAACAAGGCTCCGTG